GTCACCTTTTAAGGGTCAAGTGAAAAAGTGTTTTATAGTTTAGATATTTGAGAATTTCTCAGTTGGTCAACATTGTTTTTTCTTGTATTAAATTCTTTTATTGGTACATTGTAGGTACACAACACAATTACATTTCTCATTGGGAATTGTACCTTTACATAATGCATCTTGGTTCTTATTTTTTGCCCATTCTTAGCCCTCCCTTCACGCCCTCCACCCTTCCCTATTTACAAAGACTTTATTTCCATTTTTTCCATTTCTCATCATTTTTCCTTTCCCTTCTTTCCTTTCCCCTGCCCCTCCCACTACCCCTACCCCTTTGGACCTTTTCTTCCTATTTTACATTATTGATTATTCATTCTAATCATTGGTACATTTTAGGTATACAATATACTGACATTCATCATTGGAAATTTGCACCTTTACATAGTCTCTCTTGGTTCTTATTTTTCACCCTTGCCCAGCCCTCCCTTCTACCCCTCCAGTCCTCCCTATTTACAAAGATTTGGTTCCTATTTTTCCGTTTTCTCATATTAATCCCATTCCCTTCTATCCTTTCCCCTAGCCCTCCCACTTCCTTCCCCTTTGCCCCTTTTCTTCCTATTTCACATTACCTATTATACATTTAGTCCATATTTACACTTTCAGTTTCTCACACCAGAGAAACTATTTGGTATTTACACATGTGTGTCCTATTTATTTCACTTCAGAGTATCGCCTCAATGTGCATCCACTTAGCTATAAATGTCTCTAATTTCTCATTTTTTATGGCTGAGTAGTACTCCATTTTATAAAAAACCCACATTTTCTTTATCCAGTCTCCAGTTGATGGGCATTTGGGCTGTTTCCAAGTTTTAGCTATCACAAACTGTGCTGCTATGAACATGGGTGCACATATATCACTATGGTATGATTCTTTTAATTCTTTGGGGAAGATCCCCAGCAGTGGAATAGCTGGGTCAAATGAGACTTCCAGTCCTAGTTCTTTGAGGTATCTCCATACTGATTTCCACAGTGCTTGCACCAGTCTACACTCCCACCAGCAGTGGAGCAGGGTTCCTCTTTCCCCACAGCCCTGCCAGCATTTGTTACTGGTTGATTTCATGATAGCAGCCATTCTTTCTGGAGTGAAGTGGAATCTCAGAGTTGTTTTCATTCGCATCTCTCGAATGAGTTGGTCAACATTTTACATGCAAATAGATTGGCTTTTCCAAAATGCATGCGTAATTGTCCAGGATTTGCAGGCATGAACTGAAGATGAACCTTTTATTTGGTAGAACAAGAAGCTATAGCTTGCCCTTGTGTGCTGAACCTGAGCATTCGTGGGTATACTTAGGGGTGGATACATGCACACAAGTGTGAAAACATTCCTGTGTAGAAACAGTAATTCTACCACTTACTGTCCTGCAAAAGATAGCAAATTATTAATTAAAACAAAGAATTGCATATTGCATTGAAAAGGGATGAGAGATGGGCATATCTACCTATCATAAAATCCTTAACACTTTGGATTTGGATGTAAAAGATCTAAAGTACGAAGTATACAAAAGCTGTTGTGTCAAAAAATACATTGGGTAAGGCCCAGGGATTTAGCTCAGTGGTTCTGCCACCTGCTTCACAAGTACAAGGTCCCGAGTTTGATCCCTGGTCCAAAAAAAAAAAAAAAAAAATACATTGGGTGAAACACTTTAATATAACTTGTACGTAAATCAGTGAAAATGATTTTTGTCTAATGAGTAATTTTCGGGCAAGATGTATTGCTAAAGTAATGATTTGTTATTTATTAAGAACTGATTTTTGATTGCTTTACTGCTATCTAAAAACATTGCTGGTCCATAGTGGGTATGCAGTAATATTTGCTGCAGAAGCAATTAAACTGGGTTGTATGTATCTATTGCCCTTACAGGCATCCCCTGGGAGGCTGTTTTGAACTATTACATCCTGAGCAGAGCAAAGGCACAAGGCAGGGCCAAGCTTGGCCCTCCACCATTCTCATACCCTGAGTGCTACATGACTTGTTTTCTCAATGGTGGGTTTGCAAAGTGCAGCTCAGTAATTTAAACCTCTAAAAACAATAACATCAGCAAAGAAACATCCCTACCCTAACCTATGACCAAGAAATCCTAGCTGAAGAAAAAAATTTCATTTTTCCTGGCCAAGTTTTCTTTATTCTCTTTTTATTTTCTTGGACACTTTTGTTAGTTTTAACAATCATTCAAAGGGGGAAAAAATTGGAATATACTTTAATCAGTGTCCAAATACCTTGTTTAACAGAGCATAAGACCAAATGCAGAGAAGAGGCACAATATATTTAAAAATGAGTTTTCAGTTCTAAAGATTTTTCTGCTCCATTGCTTGAGACAAAGAGAATGCCCAAGAAAAGTGTTGGAAATGGCAGTGTTCTGAGGCTTGTACGTTCTCAATCTCTGGCTTCCTCCCGCTTACTGACTTCACTTTTCACCTTCGGGTACAGCAGAAGCAGAGTTCTCACTGTCCCTGTTGAGATACTGCCCTACTTTGCTTCAGTGGCAAGGGCCTGGAGTAGCACACGATGTCAGTCAGTTGGACCTACAAGAGCATGCCTTACAGGGAACTGTGGCCAAGCATTTAAACAGGCCCTGCTTTATACAGATGAAGGAAAGGGAATTGAAAAGGATCTTCCTATAAAGTCACTGCCCAGTAATTTAACAGGGTCAAGAACTGTAATGAAACATCATTTGATCTGGCATTGAACTTGGCCTCAGTTTCCAATTTCTATTGGATAAATCCAACTGCTAGCTTTAAGCCTCTATTTCATACCCCAATATACTGCTGTAGTTGTTGTGCTAATAAATCTTTCTACCTTGATCCATTGTCTCCGGTCTTGAATCAACACAACACCAACCAGGGCAGTAAAACAAGAGAATAGGTGGTACAGTCTTTGTAGGTCCAGGATGCAGGACAGGTGGGGATGGATGGAAAATGGGGGTGGGGTGGTAAACACAAAAGGAATATAACCAGCACATATCTTAGGGTTGATGTGAAAGTTATTTAAAACAATGACTATAAAAGAACTTAGTAAACATTATAGAGCTTTTCATATATATGTCTTTCCTTATTTTTGCAAAGGGTTTTAGAGTTTACAAAATATTTTGGGGGATCCCGTGTCACCACAATACTGAGAAGTAGACAGCAAGCTTCATCCTCTTCTGTTGAACTGGCTAACTTTGCCACAAGGAAGGAAATTAGGCTCATTCAGAGAAATTCAGGGAATTTCAGGGAAATTCAAATTCAAGCTCAGACACCACCCATCAGGGTGGCAGAGTCTCCAGGTTGTCCGTTGTTATGGTTCTCTGTCTCTTCCGTGGTGACAGAACTTCTAGCAAGACAATGACCCAACAGAGCAAAGCCTATTTCACAGCCTCTTTCACAACAAAATATGGTCATGCAGCTTAAGTTCTGGCTGGGAGAAGGATTGTGTGGCAGCTGCAGGAACCTTTCTCAGAAGGAACCAGCTGAGTTCATGAGAAGTGTCTGTCATGAAGCAAAAGGCTGCCTCCAATATAATACATTGGGATCCACTCTCCCTCATTTTCTTTTCACCCCCCGTGCTGCCTGAATGCAGATGCTGCATCTGGGGCGAGGAGATGACAGCTGCCCCCTGGAGCTGGTTGAGTGGTGACAGACAGGAGGGAGCCTTGTCACAGTGGACCCTGCATGGCAGAGCCACCACACTGAGCCCTAGATAGAGAGAAAATAAAGGTCTATAACGTTTGACCTTGTGTTATTTTGGGTTTCCTGTTCCAAATGAACAAGTCCTGGCCAGGTAAAAAACAAGGAGGCCTCTTGTGCCACTGTTGGGTTATGTACTTGCATCACAGCTCTGGAGAGTGGCAGCAACACCTAGTAGAGCTGAAGACCAAGGGATCAGGTGTATTGGGTTTGTCAGCAGGTGCCAGAATCCCAGGAAGGGTTTATTACTACCATCACACATCTGGGGCTGGCACAGTGGCTCCCAGCCCCAGCAACTCCTGCTGTCCATATCCTTCTCCTCTCTCCTTAGCCATGGTTTTGGCATCAAAGATACAATAGTACTGCTGCACCTCTGACTTCACCCAGTAGCCCACCTCTCTGGATGTCAGTGCTGACAGAGGATAATGCCCCATATTGCTACCATGGCAACTCTTGCTAGAACCTTGGGAAATAGTTTGGGGAGGCAGGAGTTGAGGACTCAATTTCCTAGAAATCTGTCCAGAGAGCACAAATGCAGAAATGAGAAATGAAAAGCAGAAGTGACTCAAGACCTGTGTGTCCAGGCCCAGGACGACTGGCCAGGTTTCAGGAACAGCCTGCACAGCCTCAGGGTGGCCAGGTGGCCCTTGGAAAGGCTCGTGAGATCTGGAACTGTCCAATGACCTTGGTTTGGTCTTCTAGTGTTCCATCTATTGGTCATGTGACCTTGTTTCCTCTTAGTCAGTGTTGAAGGTTTTCATAGAGAATACATAAAATGAAAACATGGGAAAGTGTTTTATTTGAGCATCTGGGTTATAAGAATTATTCACGAATGCTCCTTCTTTGTGATCTCCATGCTGTGCCAGGCTGGTGAGAGTGGCTGTCAAGGCGTCCCAAGGCTGGGTTGGAACTGGACACATAGACAGCTATGAAAGGAGGCAGTAGTAGGCTTGGGTCCTGGCATGGCACCACCCATGATGTGGACAAGGTCACCCCAGCCCAGGACTCAATTTGCTTCTTTGATAACTAAGAAGTTGGGATAGAAGGTTACTGTGGACACATTAACTCAAATATTAGTGGTTCCAGGATTTAGAGGGTGCAAAATATTTGTCACTATCCCAAGATTGTCTTGTTCTCACCTGTCTGACCCACTTCTGGAGCTTCCTTTGTCAGGACCTAGTGGCTGTCTGCCTCTTTCTTCGGAAAGCCTTAGCTGGAAGGAGTTAGTGACAGGAATTCTCAGGGGCCTTACAGGCTCTGCCATCCATTGTGATGCAGGCTTCTGTTCCATGGCAACAGTGGGAACCCCAACGTTGTCTCCTGACAAACACTGAGAAGTACAGACCAGGGACCAGGAGGAGGAGTGGATGTGTAGAGCTCTTGAGGCCCTGGAGAAGTGAGGGAACCAACCTCAGCTACCTTCAGCTTCCTGGAGAGAATGGCCAAGGGGAGACGCTTCAAACCTCCTTTTGACAAGGATGGAAGTTGGGTAAGTAAGATGGCGGCATCTTGAAGCTTCCTTGCGCTGTGTGGGTATAGTCAAGGGCACAGAATTGAGTTCAGATCCCCTTCTGCTTATGACAGCATAACCTTTGACTAATTTTTTCCCTTGGTCTCAGTTCCTTCATCTGTGAAGTGAAAAATCCCAGCATTTCAGGGAAGATTGGGTGGAATAACACATTAGAATGCTCAGCACAATGGACACTTGAAGATGCCCATTAGATGAGGTTTATTGTCTGGTCTACTTTTTCTTTTTTCCACAACATTTATCTTCTAACGTACTGTATATCTTTTTCTGTTAGGTATATTATTTCTCTCCCTTTCCAGGAGGACTGGGACCTTTGTCTTTTTTATTCACGGATATTTCCCCAATGCCTAGAATAGGAGCTGGCACTTAGACATACTCAACAAATATCTGTTGCAAGAATTAATATTATATTAAAAACTCTAAACAAATTCCTTGGCTGGTAATCTGATTCCCTTGGTCCCACCAGACTGTGAAATGGGCAGAGTCCAGGAAGGCATAATTCACTCATCTTGGTCACTGGGAACTTTCCTTTCTAGCTTCCCCCACTTCCTCAGACTACCCCACTCTCTTTAAAATGAAGAGATGGGTCACACAATGTTGCCCAAGCTGGCCCCAAACTCCTATGCTCAAGTGATTTTTCCTCCTAGCAAGACCCCTCTCTTGTGTGTCTCTTACACAACCCAAAGGACTGTATCTTGATTCTTTAAGAAACGAGGGTGAAGTTTTAGCCTTAGGGGTCCAAGCACTCCTCTTGTCTGCTCGTCAATACATATTTTCCATGCACTGACAGCTACTATTTATGATTTCTGCAGTTCATTCACGAAAGAAATATTAAAGTGAACCACAGCAACAGACTGTTGCCTGCATCTTCCTGACACTCAAGAAAGAGAAAAACTCAGAATTAACCTCTTTCAGGGCAGCAATATGCAGAAAACTGAAAAATGGAAAGTCTGATAAATTTAGGACTGAAGGCTTTAAAAAAAAACTGATTATAGCCACTTGGATATAATCTTGGGCTAAAACTAAGGAGTTTAGTCTAATCTCTAATCTTTACCTGTAAAAGACAGCCCAGCATAGTAGTATGTACCTGTAATCCCAGAACCCTGGAAAGCTGAAGCAGGAGAATTGCAAATTCAAACCCAACTTGAGCAATTTAGTGACTCAGCAAGACTGTCTTAAAATAAAAATCAAAAGGGCTAGGGATTAGCTCAGTGTGAAGGCTCGGTTTAATCTCCAGGGAGGGTGTGGAGGAACCAGACAGAGAGAGAGAATGCACTAAGGTTAGAAGCCTATTGTGGGGATAAATAAAATAATTCATTCAGAAGTGCTCAGTTTAGAGTTTAGGGATGGGGATGTAGCTCAGTGGTAGAGCACTTGCACTTGCTTAGCATATGTAAGGTCATGAGCTCAATTCCTGGCCCCGCAAAAAAAAAAAAAAGGGCTTAGTACAATGCACAAGAACATAGTAACTACTCAACACTTGCTAACATATAACATGTATGCCTTCTAGATATGTGTGCATATATATGTACACACAAAAACTGTACGCTCTGCTTCATTCCACCATGATTGGAAGTAATATATGGAAAATATACACAATAAAATTGTAAAGTATAAATAAAATTTATAACCAGTTTTAATATATGTTAAAGTAGAAGGCTGAAAATAGGAAAAAAAAATTTTACTTTGAGTTCCCTGGCAGCCAAGTAAAAAGAGAAATAATGTCAACTACATAACACTAATTGCCCATGAAGAGAAAACCATGTTTCTTGATACTAAGTAGCCTCTCCTCTTTCTATCACCTACATATCAGTTAGGATTGTGTTGTGATTGAATATTATAAAAAGCCATCTAAAGCATCTTAACCAGATAGAGGATTACGTTTTTTAAGGAACAATAAAATCCAGGGACAAGTAGTGCAGGGCTGGGAAAACTGATCCAGGAGGTCTTCTGACACCAAGGTTCTTTTTGGCCTTCTCTAGGCAGTGAGTCCTTAAGCCAGGCAGGAAAATAAAGGGAAGATCAAAAGGCAAAAAGAGAGAAGGCAGGTGTCTGCTCAGGCTGCTTGTTCTTTTTCAGGAAAATGATAGCTTTCCCAGCAGGCTTGCCCTGTAGACTTGTGTTTCTGACTCATTTGGTCACCCAGCCAATTAGCTGCAAGGGAGTTCAAAGAGATATTTTTTAACCAACTGCATTGTCATTTCAAAGGAAGTCAAATTCTATTATGAGAGAGAAAGCAAGAGCTGAGAATATAATGGAATACTTGCCTAGCATGTTCAGAGTCCTGGGTGCGATTGCCAGCACAAAAACAAACAACAGCAGAGAGAGAGAGAGAGAAAGAGAGGGGTTGAGAGAGAGTTTCATATTTCAGAGGCAGAGATTTCACTTCAACCTCCAATCGAGAGCCCAGGAATGCCCCCTGGTACCCAGGTTTTAGATGGAAGCCCACTGTCCCCCAAAGTTTAACTTGAGGCTTTGGCAGGAATCCTTTCTGCTATCAGCACCTAGGAACATAAAAAGAATACTGCTGATCATGGAGTTTCCCAAAGTCACTTGTAGATGAGTTGGAAAAATTAAAGAAATTGTTGGCTTTGAGTCAGGAGCAGCCCATTCGGGAGGACAGTAATTGCCACATTAGAGGTGACAATCATTTTGCAGTTAACCTTGCTGGTTGTAATCCGGCTGTTGCCGAGGAGAAAAGGGTTTTCCCACATACTTTCTCTCTCCTGTTTAATATTTCAGTCATTGAGTGATTGAATGTAGCAAAAATTCCACTGCCAACTAGTTAAAAAGCTATATTTCACGGTTACAATATCTAACAGAAGGGTTTATTTCACAGCTATCATGTTATAGCCATTAACTATATATTTTAAAAGAGTGAAATTAAAATGCTAGGGTCATTTTTTTTACAGTGGCGTTCTGCAATCTATAGATTCCCAGAATACAAATGAACTCATGTCTGTTGTCATTCAACTAGTGAGAGCAATCATTCCTTATGTCAGAACAGCCTCTCCCACTGGCCCGATTTTCCACAGCTTTCCTCAGAGTGTGTGACTCAGTTGAACTGAGGAAGACAGAAGAGGAGCTGATAATCCCAGAGCTCCTTTGTATTACTTATATGCACCTTTAAAAAGTAATTATTTAAAGACATTTAAAAATGCAATATATAATTTATTAGAAATATATATGTATATATATATGTATATATATATGAACTGAAAATTTGTTAAGTGAGGAAAGCAAGGTACAAAGGTATATGTATAATGCAATCCAATTTTTGTAAAGCAAGACAAGGCTGGCTCACATATATACAGGTTTGTATACGTCAGGTGAGAGCTCAGTTGTTAGTATTGTTATCTAGGGTAGCACATAGGTAAGGGTGACAAGGAGGAGATAGAAAAGACAACCAAAAATTACTAATAAATAAAAAGGTACTCAAAAGTTTTAGAAATCACACTGACAATAATAGGCTGATAGTATGATAATATATCATGTTATCAATGATATGATATCATGCATACACAATTCCTGTATGTATGGAGGGTCATTTGTATAGGGATGTATGAAGGGGTGATTTCCAAGTTAAGGGGAAAGTATAGTAGGATTTCAGGGGCTTTTATTTCCTTCCTTAGGTTTTTCTTTATTATTTGAGGGTTTTTTTTTTCTTAAACCAGGAGTACATATTGCAACTCTCATCAGAAACAAACACATTTATTTTTGTTGTGGAACAAAACAACAATGTAATATACACACTTAGTTAAGAAACACTTAAATGGAACAAAGTAGTCAGTGGAAAGAAAGTTCTTCCTTCCCTGGTGCCCCTCCTTGGAGGGCCCTGTGGCCAGCTTCTCTGCGTCCTCCAGAGAGTTTGTGCACATGAGCTTTTGGGGTGGTTTCTTTGCCCTTAATCCCCATCTCTTGTCTCTTCATCCCCTGGATAGCCATTCAAATGTATTTAATAGGCGTTCTTTAATTTCAACGTGTCCTTGTAAATTATGTATTGTTCTGTGTGCATGGATTATTTATTCACATAAGTGGTGCTGTGTTATACATCTCATTCTGTTTCTTTCTCTACTCTGCAATGCATTTATAAGATCTACCCATTGTTATGTGTCTTCTACCCATTGTTATTGGTTTCAGAGGTGCCATTCAGATAAAATTGGGGTGAGCTACTGTGGCCATCGAGTGCCAGCCATAACCGCCTTGAGGAATGAAGGCCTCATTGCCACCGCAGCCGGGAGCGTGGCCCTCACTGTCCACCCTAGGGGTCTTGTAACTGAAGAGAGCTGTCTCCCCAGAGTTACAGCCTCTTCCTGGGGAAGCCCAGGAGTCCATGCAAACACCGATCTGGCACACAAGGCCAACTCAGAACAATTCTGGGGTCCCACTGCCTGTCCTAAGCTCCTCAAAGGGTCAGCTGAGCCCCTTACACTTCCCTCTACACACCCATTTTCCTTCTTTCCTTTTATAGAGAGATCTCAAGAATACCTCCAATCTTCCTTGTCCTCGCTCTTCTTGCTTCATTCTTTCCTACCCCGTTTATTTTTCCTCTCAGGCCTCTCCAACCTCTACCATCCTACCTTCCCTGTGGACAGTAAATGGGCCCTCAACCTCACTTTTCCCCAGTCTTAGGGCCCACCTCATACCAACGTTGCTAGAGGTTGGCCCAACCCTATGAAATGGGCTGGATCCTAGGCGCCAAGTACCTGGAGTTCCCTGACCAGAGGCAGACCTCAGATAACACATCTCTGCCTTCCCCGACTATGAGTATGTCCCATACTCTGAGGCCCAGGCCCTCCTCCCCAAGCTGTGGACACATTTCCAGGCTGTCATGCAGCAGGGGTGGCCCCTGCAACTTAAAACAGCCGCAGTGATGGCTCTGGGCCATTACAATGTTTTTGTCTTGGAAAGAATGCTTGAAAATTACAAAAATTATACCATTTCCATTGCATGCCAGAAGCACAAAAATTGCATTTTAATCCCTTTACAGAGGAAGCCCTGATACTTGGCTTATAGATTCAGACTTTCTGGTTTTAATCAAGAAATGTGCTGTTTTTCCAGTTCCCTCATATTGGACTTACACAAAAGACACCAGAATCCCTCATGAGTTCTGTGTTAAAAGAGCCTTATTGTCCGCAGTTGACTCAGCAAGCAGAGAAGAAGCTGCCACCAATATACAAAATCCGGGAGAAGGTGAGTTCAGGGTCCTGGCCCCAGCTGCAAGCTCTGTGGCTGTCCCAGGGAGTGGCACTGGGGTGTTCTGACCAGACAACTCTTCCTGTTAAGGAACTTTTCATTTAGCAGCCCTGGTGGGGTCCGCCTCATTCGCAGGTCCCTGTGACAGGCCGAGACATGCTGTAGAAGCTACGTCTGGTTCCAGACAATGAATGAGGCTCCTTTACATGAACCTTGGGTCACACTCTCATTGGCATCCACATTCTCCCTCCCGATCCAGTTCGAGGTAAACTTCAGGGGCACTGCCGTGACATGACGACGGAGCGGGTGCAGACCTCAACCAGACTCGCCCTGCGACCTGGGCCAGTGCTCTGTCTCCTGGATCCTTTCTGCTCAGACAAAGAAGTTGGCCCCATGGCCTCAAAAGTCCTTTTCGGTTATTGCTCCTGTGAGTCTGTGTACTTTTCCATCCTGGCCTGCAAGGAAGGTGTTCTGAAAGAGGATTTTTCTGCTTTTCAGGAAGTTGGTGTCTTAGTTACAAAACTTACAGGGAGGAGAGCTTTATTTCCGTTCATAGTTCATAGAGGTTTCAGTACATATACAGCTGGCCGCAAGACAGAGTGGCACGGCAGAGGAGCATGGCAGAGGAAAGCTGCTCACTGCACAGTGGCTAGGAAGCAGAGTGAGTGAAGGAAAGAGCTGGGAAGGGAGATGAACCCTCCCAGGTCACACAGCTACTGACCCACCTCTGTCTTAGCGAGAGGTCGCTTTGCCCCACTGTCCTCTCTCAGGGTTGCTGCACTTCAGCTCTGAAAGCACCCTGGAGTTCTAACGTGAGTCTTCTCATCTCTTTCTCACTCTTCTGTAGCAAGCAGTAAGTAACAACTTCCCCTTCTCTGTGCATGACAATCGCCACAGTTTTGAGAACTCTGGATGCTACTTTGACTCGGTGAGTATGTCTCTCAAAATTACTGATAAAATGCGGAGCGGCACCAGGGATCTTGATTTTCTAAGGCCTGTTGAGGACCTCAAACTGGCAGGTCATCAAAATGAAGTGAGGTCTTAAAAACAAGACTTGTAACAGGTTACAAAACAACAACAACAAAAACCATGCTTGAAGCTGTCGAAGATCCACACAGCTTTCAAGTCTGCACCAGTCTTCTGCTCCTGTTAGCATGCTTCTCAGAGTCCTTCCCATAAACGGTCTCTTGTGCCAGGACCCCCAAGGAGGGGCAGAAGAAGGGGGAGCTTTCGTAGTATGAGAAAGAACCTTCTAATCACTGTAGTGGCCTTTCCTCTAGAGGTAGTGGGTTCCTGCCATTATACAAGAGCAATACAGTGCAAGCTGCATATGTAATTCTAAACTTTCTAGTGGCTACAGTAGGTGAAAAGAAAGATGTGAAATTAATAATATGGATGGTCTTCTACTTATGATAGTTTGATTTACAGCTTTTTGACTTTATGATGGGTATAAAAGCCATAGGCATTCAGTAGAAACTGTACATCAAGTTTTGAATTTTTCTCTTTTTCCTGAGATATCAATATGTGGTACAAGACATGAGGTACCATGTTCTTTTGTGATGCTAGGCAGTGGTAAGAAGCCACAGCTCCTAGCCAGCTGGATGATCAGTAGTGTACTGTGTTGCTAAGCTGGGATGCCCAGGTTAGGTATATTTGATGCATTTCTGACTTAGGATTTTTCATCCTCCAATGGGTTTATTGGGAAGTAAGGCAAGGAGCGATTCGTATATGTGATTTAATATTTTCCCCAAATTATCACATCCATATGTAATCAGTATAAAAATTATTGATAGAATATTTTACATACCTTTTCCCAAACTAAGTCTTTAGAATCCAGTTTGTATTTTACACACCTTGATTTAGACAACTGATTTTTCAACTGCTCAGGTGCTATCGTGGCTAGTGGCTACCAGACTGGACATTGCAGGGTTAGCACACCTTAGGTAGAGAGTGAGCTCTGAGCATCCTTACCAAACCCAAAAGTCAGACGATGATGACAATATTAGTAATACCCATGAATTACTAAACATTTTACCATATCATCTCATTTAATCCCTCAAGAAATCCTATGGGCTGCTTATCATCTCCAATTTAGAGATAAGGAAGCTGAGAACAGTTAAACAACTTTCACAACATTACCCTTTGCACTAGGTTACAATATCCTAACTAAATTTAAGTGACTTAACCCCTCCCATCTGGTTTTTCTCTGGCAGAGCATTGAATACAGAACCAGGATATCCTTTCTGCCTGCCTCGCTAAATGGAGTGTCTAGTACTGTTTTCTAAATTACCAAAGCCTCAAATAATATAGAATCATATAAAATAAAAAATAAAATTCGCACCATTATTTTCCTTTCTCACAAGTTCACCTTGATGATTCATTAGTAATAATGGTTTGGCAGGCAAAATTGAAAAATTCTTGTAATTCACATTATATAAATGAACATAATGAACATATATATATATATATAAAATCTTTTTTGGTACAGAAAAAATAGGGCTTCCCACGTGATAGGCAAACACTCTACCACTGAGCTATATCCCAGCCCCTTTAAAAAATTTTTAAATTTTGAGACAGGGTTTTGCTAAGTTGCCCAGGCTGGCCTCAAATTTGCCATCCTCCACTTCAGCCTTCTGAGTAGCTGGGACTAAGGTATTCACCACTACATCAGGAATGAATGTCTATCATGTCAAGGTTACAACAGGATTGTACCACATGTATTTTACCAGTTATAATAGACTTGTAGAAAGCATTGAAAGTTTTTCAACTTTCTCTGTGATTTAGAAGTTTACATAGCATTTGGATTTTCAGCTTAATGGAAGTTGGATAAAATTATCCCATGAAATTAGTTGAATTTGATTTTTTTTTTGAGACAGGATCTCATTATGTAGTTCAGGTTGGCCTCGAACTTGTGACGATCCTCCTGCCTCAGCCTCCCAAGTGCTGGGATAACAGACATGTGCCACCATGCCCAGCTTGATACATTTTTTTGAGTTAAATTTTTAGTACTTTTCCCATTTTTTATGTTTTTATATTTTTTCCCATTAAGTTTATTGGTACATTTTAGGTATAAAATACAGTTACATTCATCATTGGGATCTTGTACCTTTACATGAGTATCTTGGTT